GGCGCCCGCCACCACGCCTGGCTAATTTTTTGTATTTTTAGTAGAGACGGGGTTTCACTGTGTTAGCCAGAATGGTCTCCATCTCCTGACCTCGTGATCCGCCCACCTCGGCCTCCCAAAGTGCTGGAATTAAAGACGTAAGCCACCGCGCCTGGCCCAAAAGTTTTAAAAATTAGCTGGATGTGGTGCTATACACCCATAGTCCCAGCTTCTGGGGTAGCTTAGGCAGGAGGATCGCCTGAGCCCAGGAGTTTGAGGCTGCAGTAAGCTATGATTGTGCTATTGTACTCCAGCCTGGGCAACAGAGCCAGACACGGTCTCAAAACAAAAACATAAATAAACAAACAGAAAGCTTTATTATCCTGAGACGAGGTTCATCACTTTTACCAAACTGCAGAGAGTTCCCATGGCCCTGAAAATACTGTGAACCCTTCCTTTCCTATAATGGTGAGAATTTGGGATTAAAGTGTTGTTGCTAGTTGGCTTGGGCTGCCATAACAAGATACTGCAGACTGGATGGCTTAAAAAACAAATTTTTTTCTTATAGTTTTGGAGACTTGAACAGGCCTTCTTGCTGTGTTCACGTAACCTTTGCTTTGAGTGTGCTCTGAGAAACAGTGCAAACTCTCTGGTGTCTATTTTTATAATGACACTAATCCCATCATGGGGGCCCAGTCTCAAGACCTCATTGAAACCTAATCACCTCCCAAAGGACCATCTCCAAATACCATTACACTGGGGGTTAGGGCTTCACCGTATGAATTTGGGGGTGGGGACACAATTCGGTCCATAGCAAGTATGCAAAAATTGGAAGTTGTGCCAAAATACAAAATTAGCCGGGCATAGTGGCTCATGCCTGCTGTAATCCTAGCACTTTGGGAGGCTGAGGCAGGAGGATCACTTGGACTCAGGAGTTTGTGACCAGTCTGGGTAACATAGTAAGATCCTGTCTCTATTTAATCTAAAAATAGAAATGAAAATTAAAAAAAAAAAATACAAAATTAGAAACATTAAACTTTTTTTGGATTATCTATTTTATTTTATTTTATTTTATTTTTGAGATGAAGTTTCGCTCTTGTTGCCCAGACTGGAGTGCAATGGTGCGGTCTTGGCTTAATGCAACCTCTGCCTCCCAGGTTCAAGTGACTCTCCTGCCTCAACCTCCCAAGTAGCTGAGACTACAGGCAGGTGCCACCAGGCCAGCTACTTTTTGTATTTTTAGTAGAGACAGGGTTTCACCATGTTGGACAGGCTGGTCTTGAATTCCTGACCTCAGGTGATCTGCCTGCCTTGGCCTCCCAAAGTGCTGGGATTACAGGCGTGAGCCACCACGCCTGGCCAGGATTATCTATTTTACAGCAAAACATTTTTCAAACATCTCCCCAAAACTGCTAAAATGGAAACTTCGTGAGGTTTGTAAGGAATGTAGTAGGATAAATAAAGGAAATGATTTTCTCCATTATTACTATTTTAAGACCTATAAAATACAATTGGTAATCTATCCAATGAACAACCTTTTAATTGTTGTTTTATTTGGAGAATATAATATATTTCTATAAGGCTTCATGGCTCACTTAAAACTTCAACCATGCACTCATACTTTTTCTCTTGAGATTTAAGTGTAATATTATGTTTGGAGCAAAATAATAAAAGCTAATTTTTATTGAGCATTTACTGTGAACCAGGCATTGTGTTAAGCACTTTACTCGTTACCTCAGTTAATCTTCAAGGGAAACTTTCATTTAGGTGCTTGTCATTTGCATGGCTCAGAGAGTTTGAGATCTTGTCCAAGTTCACTCAGACAGGGTGAGGCAGAACCGGGGTTTGAACCCAGGCATTCAAGATGTAGAGTCCAAGGTTTTAGCCACTATGTCTAGCTTCCTCTCTTGCGAAGTGGTAGGCTTTCTGGACATGTTCATTCAGAAAGTGGCTTGTGTGGTAGAGGGTAGGTTCTCCCTGGGAACTGGGATTTTGATGTTCTCTGCAATTACTCTACCCCTGTGATTTCTTGGCTGGGTAGGTGCTCATCTGACGTGAAGTGCAGGTGTGATAATAAATTTCTTGCCTCTGGCAGATTGCTAAGTATTAGAAAGTGGCAAAAAACTGTGGGCATCTTATATCTTCGGTCTCCAGTAATGAGTTCTTTGCTCCTACCAAGAGCAAGAAGCCATCCTTGCTCTTCAGAATGCTTTCTATCCTCAGCAATTTAATCATTATCTAGCGGAAGGTTGGTTTTCTATTTGCAAATCAATCGATGTAATCCACCACAAAACAGATAAAAGAAAAAAATTATAGGATCATCCCAACAGATGCAGCAGAAGCACACTGACAAACTTCAGTTCTCATTTTTAGCAAATAACAATAGATAAGAACTTTTCTAATTTTATTTTAAAAAACCTATAAAAATTATACAGCAAACAACATACTTAATGATGAATATTAAAACCTTTTCCCTGAGATTGAAAATGAGAAAAGGTGCCGATTATTCACAAATTCTATTCAAAATCATCCTAGAAGTTCTAGCCAATGTAGCAGGATGGTCGGGGGGAAGGATAATAATTGAAAGGAAAAAATAAAATGTCTTTTGTTTTTTTTTTTTGCAGATGACAAGATATGCATGTGTAATATAGAAGACAACTATGAATTAATGTTATATAACAAGGTTTATGGTTAATTTAAAGTGTCTCTATTTAAATGAATTGTATTTCTATAATATCTAACAACAAACATTTAGAAGTGAATTTTTTTAAATGATACAGTTTACAATAGTATCAAAAAATGTCAGGGCTGGCATGGTGGGCTCACGCCTATAATCCAGCAATTGGAAGGTGAGCCAGGTGGATCTCCTGAGATCAGAGTTCGAGACCAGCTTGGCCAACATGGGAAAGCCCGTCTGTACTAAAACATAAAAATTAGCTGGGCGTGGTGGCTCACGGCCTATAGTCATAGCTACTCGGAAGGCTGAGGTGCAAGAATTCTTGAACCAGGAGGCAGAGGTTGCAGGGAGCTGAGATCATGCCACTGCACTCACCTGGTCAACAGAGTGAGACTCG